GCATTTAGCTGATGTTCCGAAGTGCTATTCGTGAACTGCTGGGATTTACCTTAAAGTATTATGCACAAAAGTATTCAGTCATTATACCCACTATCCATATATGAACATCCGCCTGAAACCTTACTTACGCCTTCTGGCATGAGAGGGACTGAACACTTACCCAGCAGCGGTACCCTTGAAAGTCAAGATCGCTAAACCTACACGGAAAGGTTTATTATTATGGCCTCTAAATTCCCTAAGAAATATATCGCTAAACTGGAGGAAATTTAACCAGAATTTAGCTGCTACTTTTTATCCGAAGTAGGCCTCTTTTTTAAGACGCCGCTGATGTTTTTGTTGTAATGTGGACCTACTGCAATCACATTCCACTTAGACAAAACGTTCAGCAGGAAACCATACTGGGAAAAGGCAACTGGTTGCCGTGCCTGGAGGTTATCTGATCAAATGGCGGTCGGTAGGTAACGCTGAGAGTTAATATACCTGTCGCTATTCCTCGTTATGCCTTTTTGCCAAAAAACCGGCATACACCTTACGAATACGGACTGAAGGTCTCAACTTTGCCGTCATTCTTTGTGATATTTCAATCCACCACATGCTTTTTGACTTGACGACAAGAACACGGCCGTTCGTAAGTAGAGGGGAGATTTCGCTAATTTGTAGTCCTGTTTCAAAGAACGACTCTTTAATTAAGAGTTTCATTGAATTGTCAAGCGGAGAATGTCGAGATCTATATGTCTCCGTCTGCAGTTCATCTACACTAGCTTTAGCAGCCCTTTTTCCAGAAAGTCAGTTTTTGATTGAATACATCTCGTCGACATAGGTATCCTTGAATTTTTGTGACTAGGATGTATGCAGGTTTTGAAAGGGAGGTTGCCCATGACCAAAGTAAACTTTATGTACACTTCAGCTCAATATTATTTATTCAGACTGCACAAACGTTACAAGGTCAAATCAGAGGATATGATGAAGAATTAACAGTAGCCTAGCCAATTATGACGGTAAATGTTTTACACAAAACATCTGCCTTACACTCGACCGTCCTGGTGCTTTTCTCTTCTTTCAAACAAAAGGCAACTGATAAACGTCAGCTCCAGAGTTGAATTATCGGTGTTTTTTGTCCTATATGCTGCCCCGGGAATTCCTCAAGTGCATTCTTGTCTCCCTTTGTGTCTATTCTTCAGAACAAAATCTATCGTCGAGTCGCAAATGAATCAGTTTGGCCACAGGGTTATTCTCATGCGGCGCATTCCGGCACCAAATTCAATTATCTTGAATACTGATGCAAGGGAGAGGCTGTGGATGATGTACCCTGGAAAATCAGATGATCAAAATCAAGATAATTACTTTTAAGCACCTAGAGGGTTGTCTGTGCTGCTTATCGGCTTGGCACTCTGCGAATGACGTTTTTATCATAGAGAATGTGCTTTGACGTCATTGTATGCGCATAGCATATGCGGGTGGATATTTGCGCTAACATATACTCAGGCGTTTTCATTCGTGATAACTCCTTTGGGCTATATATTCGAATTTACAGTGGATGTGCTAACTTATGAAAGTTTAACCGAAATCCAGAAATGCGTTTTCGACTCGAAAAACTTCTCTGCAGTATAATCCTACAATAATTCGATCAATGCAAGATGCCTGCATTTGAACGAGCTTGTTTTCGTCCGCCTGAAAAAACACTCTGTAAATACGGACCGCTTAATTTGCACACATTTTTCACACTGACTTTCGATGCTTTTATAACATTAAATAAGCATCATAAAAAGCGTGCGAAAAATGTTCATTTTCTCACGATTTTGGTAGAAAATTACGTCTTTTTTAATTTGTTTCATGAAGGAAGCTTATCGTTCAGTTTTTAAAAAAGCCTCTGGCTATGGGAATTTTTAAGAACTTTAAATGCGCGTTCATAAAACATCGTGTCTCTGAATTCGTAAATATTGCTTGTTAAGTTTACGGTATGTCTCAAATCCACTATTATGATCTACAAATTCCATATTGTTATCTAGGAATGCCGTATGTATGATTTTCCGCAAAAGGAAAATATATCGCTTGTAGTTTGGAAACTCTGAATGCAATTGCAACGCAGGTAAGGTTCAAAATTGTCCGAGAATTGGAAAAGTTTTTAAAACTCATTTTAAAGGACGCAGTTTTCTACAAAATGAGGAAGAAATTGAATATTTCACGCACGCTTTTTATGAGATATGATAACATTTATAAGAACATCGAAAATCAGTGAGAAAGATTCATGCTAATTAAGTAGTCATTTTTCCAGAGCAGTGTTTTTTTTCAGACGACCGGAAAGAAGTTCGTTCAAGATCCGGCTTCCTTTAGTAACTTATTTATTATAGGATTACGCTGCGTGATGGTTAATATTACAGCCTTACTAAAGAACTATTTTCGGGTCGAGAAAGCATTTCTAAATTTCGGTTTATCTTTCACGAGTTAGCACCTATAATATTTGTAAATGTCTGGTAAAAGACATTAATCCACATGGAGAAGAGATACAAAAACGACCGTAACCGATGTAAAATGTATCCTTCCCTAATGAATCAGGTGAGAAACGGTGTTTACAAGCGTCTTATATTTGAAGAAACAGGGAGTTTTCCTTTTTTAAAGAACCAATACGCATATGAGCAGAATTGAATATCCTAAAATGTAGCAATCATACCAACACGAAAAAAAATATATTTTAGCCAACCTGTAATAGCGGTACATATGCAAACATTACACGAGTGATTTTTTATATCTGGCCAGATGGTATGTGCTTTTTGTGTGGTTGAGGTTCTTCCTAACAAAGGGACTGAAACGGCTGTCCGCAAAATAGTTTCAGAATTGAAAAGCTACTCTACAGCGCATTAATAATCGTGGAACTTGGTCCATTAACAAGTGCATATAGAGGAAGTGACTTCTATATATAGGGTTAAGTTCTTGTTTCTTATAGAACTAGTTTCAATATCTCTCAGGGCTGACAGATCACTCCGATTTTCTACGGAGCCTATTCTGAAAAAGCTTGATTTAAAGGGCATGCACGGAACAAATCAGTGGAAGATATTTATTTTGACCGCTATCTGAAAAGCACTTTAGGACGTCTGCCAAGGCTGTACAATTTACCCTAACGTTTGTAAATACATGCGGAATATATATCTGTAAACCTTATTGCGCAGTTGTAATGCATGTCTGCACTTTCGCCACTTATTTTGTCCTTGCGCGAATTGTCATCTTTTGCGGTGTGTCTAACGAGTTCATGGTTCACTCATCTGGGCCAGTTCTCTACTGATTAGAGACCGTTTCTAAATGCGTGGATATTTCATGAGTAGCGTCAACTGTTGTACGTTGTCAACGCTGACATCGCATTCAGCATGTATATCGGACTAAAGTTAAAAGGCAGAAATATTTCTCTAACGTGAAATCTTTATATCAGCAAACGGGACCGCCTCGTGGAATATCAACCGAAGGTCGTCAGTTTATTTTTGACCAGAAAGGACTACTTTGGAGGGATTATTATGACGACATTTTGTAGCATAAGCCCTGAATATATCAGTCGCGCTACGCTGCTGGGTCTTGAATGGGCTTTTATTCAGCTGCTTTTGATAATCAGAACCCGTAAAAATGCCTACTTATATAGTATTATTTTTTCCCATTAATTTTCAATTGTCTTTTTTGTAGAAGATACAGACAAAAATTTTTATCGGCATTTGGTAGCACATGGAGTAGTCTTCTAAGATTATACCTGAAGGAGGGATGGCTTCGTGTTTAAAAACGCCCGTGCTTATAAGTTGTTTCATGCCAGGAAATGTCCATTATCGATTATTGACTATACAACAGTTTCCACATTTATTACAAAATACTGTGAGTCCCATATGACATCTTTATCTTGGCAATGTAGAGAAATCTACGATTTTATCCCCAAGAAAAATACAGAATGTAGATTATAAGCATTCGGCGCACCTGCACAAATGTGTCGTATTTAGAATTATTTTTAAGTTGTAACTGCCTTCCAAAATCTAAAGGTGCACTTCCTTTTTGTGTGAAGTTAGAAGAAGACGTAAGCTGCTAAAAAAGAAACGCTTTTCATGCTCGTTTTCTTCAAAATGTATTTAAACTCGTAGGGGCATCAAAGATCAGTGAGTAAGACCCATAATATAAAAGTAATCGATCTTAAACATGCGTCATTTTTGCGTCGGCTACAAAGAGGCAGATTTAAATTCCGGCATCCCGACAAGACTGGAACATCTTGGGACTATGCTGAACAACGATTAGTACTACAACTTTACCTAGATACTTATATTTATCTGAAGACACATCAGCGATCGCAAAGTTTTGCAACGAAACCAAATAAATAAAGCACTAAAAATAGGACATTAATTTTGCATTTAAAAAACGTAATGAATAAAATGCGCAAAGGGCGTAATAAATATCAAAATTAGTAGCCGTGGCGTTTTTTTAATTTGAAACCTGGAAATTATGACCACCAAATCTGTCATGGTTTAGGGTTTTCTCTAATACTTTTACTGTATGCAAAAAGGCTCTCTGGCATTCGACATCTGAAGCAACTTCGGTACGCATTAATTCGAGAGACAAACGTCAACAAACGGCCGCAGGAATCAACGTTGCCAAATAAGAGGAAACAGCATGCGTGCTTTATATCAGTAAATGTTGACCTCAAAGTAGCAAATCGTGTTATAAGCGGTGAACGCTTTATTTCTACAATTGGCTGAAGAAGCGCTCAGCGCATTGGCCGAAGCTAATGTCACCTAACTATAAATAACATAAATGCATGAAAACCTCGCCAACACTTTGGAATTTGGCTTTTACCACGAAGCCCAGCATGCTGACGACGAACATTTTAACTCCATTGTCCTTCTTCACGAAACATCTCGGTTTGTTTAGCTACCTTTGATTAAAAGCAGTGCTTTGTAAACTAGCGACGTATTTAATGAAATACTTTCTTATGGTTTACGCAGCACAGCTATTCCATCTTGATGCAAATCAATCCTTGGTCTGTAAAAATGCACCGGATTTTAGGATACATTTTAGGTTTGCATGGACTGTTTGCACATAGAACAGCTTAAAGCGGCTGCCAGCCATCACAGGTTCATTTTAAATTACTTTCTGAACGCTGTTGTAGGCCTTTCGTGGTCCGTAATAACACAACAAAATCCTAGGTCCCCTCCCAATGCACCATTTTGCAAATTCTATCGCATGATATTTTAAATCTCCGTTGTTTTTAGGTGTCCTCGTCCTTTTACTAATAGTTCTTGGTCACGTTATGGCAGTTCCCACGGATCATCTTGAGGACGAGGAAGATGATGCCCGGCGTTTAGCTTTTGAGCTCTACAAGAGGGGAATTCTAAAAATGAGACTTGGAAAGCGCCAGTGGGGTCAATATACTGCCGGTGAGGAAACTACTTGTTAGCCGCTTGACATAGGATCTAGTTATACCGTTGTGTATAATGTCACTTTTTATAGCTCACGCTCTATAGATAAAGTTTTTTCGAAGTTGCAATCGTAATGCCCACATAGTGCTTCTATAATGTCTGAAAAAGATAATTCCTAGACGTAATCTCAGTGTTCTTAAGTGTTAATTTACAGCCCGCTTCAATTACTTTAGGGGTATTCACCTCTGTAAGAGCACGGTGGATGCCATGTTTGACATACGCTTGTACCAAATACTTCCTCACATAAATGTTTCTTCTGGGGCTCTAAGTTATAGGCTTCTTTTTAAAGTAACGATTATTTGTCTATTGAAAGTCACTAAATTCAAATACCAACAGTAACACAAGTCACGGCGCTGATCATACTTACTCGAGTCTAATTTCTGAATAAATATTAAAGTAATAGAAAGCTTCCCGTATATCATTTTGGCAAAGTATCAATTTACATTTCTCGGCAAATATAGAAAATGCACCTAAAACTTAAATGTATAAGATATGTGAAACTAAACAGGATCAAAATATGTTTTTAAACAACCCGATGATTCTGTAACACCTCAGATGGCCAATGGGCCCATTTGCTCGGCATTTAGACAATCATCAAATACGCTTGTCTTTAAACATGAAATGCTTATTAAGGAAGGCTTAGGTGGATGTTAGGGACGTGCTGCTCACATTTTTAAGTTCGACTTATTCGAGCTTTAAACCAGATGTTTTTAATTTGATCTTATTTTTATACAGGCAAAACGGACCACTGAATTTTAGAATTATAATTGCGCACTTATTTCTGAGTAAGTATTTAAGAGCAATAAATATTGTGCTTTTTGGTGCAAAACGTGCTTGTTATTTTATGCGTAGAAGGCATTAATGAGAAAGGCCCACGAAAGATGCACAGCCATCAAATAATAGTTTGAGAATATGTAGATGGGATTAGCCCTCCAATTATGAAAGTGCGTTGCCTCTTAACGCAAAGTTCTTTAGGTTTAAATTTTAGATGCTAAATTACCGGACTTCCCTGATGTTTTCACTTCTTTCATGCATACTTTAAAGCATTCGGGCCACATTCTTTTCCAAAACATGTGCTAACGCACTTGTAATCTCTCGTAGGGAAAGGCGCTGATAGTGAATTTACCTCGGACAACGCCGATGAAGGCGTATTCGAACCACTGCCATCCAAAAGACGAATTCGGGGAATGCGAATAGGATAAGTATTGTTGTTGAAGAATGTGGATGATCCCCAATTGTATGCCGTCTACCCTTAATAAAAGGAGCGAATCTGATATTTGCTTTTTATTGTTTACGCCTCTTAGAGGTTCATAACTGGTAACCGACTCATGTCAGGACGAGTTTTGCGTATTGGTGTCCGTGGTTTATCTAGCCAGTACCTTTTTATCTCACTGGAAAAACTAAAGTAGTTAATTACTTTGCGAAGACATGAAACCAAATGATTTGTGTAAAAGTAGACACCGTACTTACCAAACCCTTCGGAAGTATTAAAATACAAATGCGATTATTCTGTGCTTTGCGAGTAAGTTACTAGCAGCTGGGTTTGTTGATTTTGGTTTTTTACTTACCTAAGAAATTAACTGCGAACTTGGAGTAGGTCAGTATATTTTAGGATTTATAGACGCAGACTGAAATTCGATGTATGCATTTCAGGGACGAAAGTCATTAGCCACAACGCAATGACCGCGTAATATTAATTTAAGCTTAAAGGATTCCTTATTAGCAGCACAGATTCTCGTTAATAGACCAACTAGGCGTGTTTCGCCGATATTCTGCAGCTGCATGGCACAGCTTCGATGGGTTCGGCTTTTCGGTGAGTCCCCCAAAATAGCCCGTCGACTTTCTACCGAAAGTGTCTTAAGGAGTACGAAAAACTGGTAAAAATCCCACCCTCGCAAGTCACAAATAGTTTATTTTCGGAGCTGTAAGGATCTAGGAGTAACTTGCTAGCAAGTATTTGCGCAGATGATGATTCCTTCGCACCGTCACAGCCGGTGACCGCCTAGACCGGCGGGCTAAAATCAATGAGGATATTGGGTGTTAGGTGTGTCTGCATACCGGTAAATCTACGCATGGACCGGCCACGTCGGACATCATCAGACACTATATAACGATAAAAACCTGAAAATTTTATTTGCTTTGTTAGCAAACGCATTTATCAACACGCCCAAAAGCAGTATAAACAAATTCATGCGCAAGTTACCGTCCCTGGTAGGGGGTGCTCACCGATCGTTCTTCGGAACTCACTCGCTCCGCTGGGCCTCACGGTCTCTCTCGAGTCCCTCCAGCAGCAGCAACACAGCGGTGCATGATATAGGCAGTATGTCATTACTGTCTCCCTCGCCTTTGTTGGTAATAACATACTGCCTATATCATGCGCCGCTGTGTTGCTGCTGCTGGAGGGACTCGAGAGAGACCGTGAGGCCCAGCGGAACGAGTGAGTTCCGTAAGAACGATCGGTGAGCGCCCCCTACCATTGTATATTCCCGATCAAAGCCGACAGGGCAACGGGCTCGTGGCCCAGTGGTTAGAGGCGCGGACGTCTAACTGACAGGTCACGAGTTCGAGCTTCGGGTGTTCCACACTTCGGGATTGGGTATGACTGGCTGACGACGGCTAATAAGCCAGAAATGGCCATTCCAGTCTTCCTTGTCAATAGAAGCGAAAAGACGAGTCCCAGGAAGCAGTCTTGAAGAAGAAGACACGATCGCCGGGACAAGAGCTTTATTAGCCTGACGTTTCGGATTCCTGCTCGAATCCATCATCAGAGACATAAGCAGATAAGGCTGGTTCATGCACATGTGGCTGCAGTATTTATAGGATGCAGTAGCCATGCCACCGCATACCTATGAATGTTCACGGCTCCCTCCCCTTCATCAGGGATCGTTGCACGTGGCGTGATGGTCGATATTCGCGTCGTTAATTGCTGAAATTTCATCGCGTGGGTTGGATGTTGGTGTGATGATTGCTCGACCATCTGACACGCTGACCCGGGTGTTAGGAAGAGTGTTCATCAGGGCGCTCCCCGCGTGGCCAATTTCTCCGCCTAGACGAAGTCTCAGCACGCTGTATTGAATGGGATGATCATTGCACTTGTTAATAGACTGGGAGCTGCCGGGAGCTGCTTGAGTCATGGTTCACTGGCCCCCAGTCTATTAACAAGTGCAATGATCTTCCCATTCAATACAGCGTGCTGAGACTTCGTCTAGGCGAAGAAATTGGCCACGCGGGGAGCGCACAGGTGAACACTCTTCACAACACCCGGGTCAGCGCGTCAGATGGTCGAGCAATCATCACACCAACATCCAACCTAAGTGATGAAATTTCAGCAATAAACGAGGCGAATATCGAAAATCACGCCACGTGCAACGATCCCTGATGAAGGGGAGGGAGTCGTGAACATTCATAGGTATGCGGTGGCATGGCTACTGCATCCTATAAATACTGCAGCCACATGTGCATGAACCACCCTTATCTGCTTATGTCTCTGATGATAGATTCGAGCAGGAATCCGAAACGTCAGGTTAATAAAGCTCTTGTCCCGGCGATCGTGTCTTCTTTTTCAAGTCTTCCTTGTATTTGTCGGTAATAACATACTCACCGTCCTTGGTCCGCCGAGCTGCGGGGCATTCGACGAACGTCGTCGATCGCGACGGTCAGACTGTCGTCTACTGGAACCTTCTGAGTATACTTCCTGCGTTAAGAGTGTAACTGAGCTATTTAAAGTATAAAGGGCAAAAAAATCTAAGTCTATCCAAGCAAAATTTGCAGAAGGCGCAAACAAAAATTAAACTGACCCGGCCATTAAAGCCGTCTTCTAAACTTATTTCATGTTTCAGACTACACACTAACCTCCTGAAACCACTGATTGCAATTCAGAAACAGTGCATTTAATGAATAATATCCCGCCCTTGACACAAGTGAATATCATTAATTAATGTAGATCTTTTGAACTCCCAATTATCAACGACATTCATTTGGCCGGGTTCAAATTAAATAACGTAAATCGGACCATTTTTGCGTAAAAGGACAGATCTGCTTTGATAAAATTGGACAAAGCCTTTCAGATGCATAGAAATGCAACTACTTAAATGCCCATGAAAACCCACTTTGTCGGCTTCAACAAAGACAGCCCTTTTCAACAGAACCATCACATGGTTAAGGCACTCGGTTAAAGCATCTCTCACAAAAACTAAAATAACCCGTTTGGGTGACGTATAAAGGCGAAGATTTTCAAAGCCATTCAGTTAGCACTCTGTTGTAGATTAACTCGCCGTTATGGCGTTCCTACTAGTTTAGATGCTCCGTAACTCGGTGTAATTTACAAGCGTGGTATAAGGAATAGTAAAAAATAGAGAATATGTTTTCTCCGACGTAACTTGGAGAAAAATAAGGCATGGTGCCCCGATTATCATAAACATATACGAATACTCGCAGGAACTCGGAGCTGACTGTTTTTCAAAAAATGTTTTCCATTTTTCACTTGCCATCTGTCTTTGTGCAAGTAACCAACTAAGACGGACCATAGGAAGTATTGCGGGGTCAATGGTCAGAGTTTGAAGGTTACAATTTACCGCGCGGGAGCTCCTCTCTGGAATGAGCCAAAAAGTCAAACGACTGAAGAACGAATCTGAACATTGCACTAAACGAGTGGCTTAAAAATACCAGGATAAAACCGGATTAACAAAATTCTTAACTCAATCCTGCGGTATCTTTTGCGCCGCTTCGACATCAACAGATAAAAGAAAGACTAGGAAAGACCTTTTTCGTCAAGGAAATGTCCTATGTGCAGCAAATAATTTGCACAGGGAGACAAAGTATCCGACCCGTTTCTGACTAAAGACCATAAGTCATCCGCGCAGAAGTTTACCTCGGTGTATGCTCATTGCATGGCCGGCTCTAATTGCATGCTCCTTCAACCTGTTGTTTTTAAAGTTTGATAGTCTCTAATATATTCCCTTTTGCGTTCGTGTGTTTGAGAAATCAAATGCAGGCTGAATTCCCGTTGGACCGACAACCCGATGTTTCCTATGACTGGGAATATTTTTATACTCCTACTATTGTATGGCAATTCTTTTATAACAGTGTGTATCAGAACCGCCTTCTTTGCCATCGTTTTTTCGTAAATGTCCGTTTTACGGAAGAAACCACTTTTTTATTTGTCTGAGTTTTCGAACTCGTGTAGGAGTTCATAGTCTGAGATAAAAGCAACAAGGGAAGGAGTGACAGCCACAGGGGAGGGGAGTGCTGTCCAATCGGAGATCTGTGAGGCAGGTCCGTTGGTGGTTACGCTGTACCCTGTATGCGGATCTCACCGACCGTCTGAATTTTTACTCAAGGTTCAGGTTTAAATCAGTTTTATGAACATCCCTCATTCCGACGTGGGCGATCATCTTGGAGGCTGCAACGCCAAACGCGTGACCCGTTGGCAGGGTTTGGGCGGCCACTTACGACTGTTCGTCATCCCGCCGCATGACATCAGTGAATTCGCGATCCCAACATACGTCAGTCTGACCTATGTAATTATAAGGGCAGTTTAGGCATACAGAGCTCAGATAAATAACCATCTAGTTCTGATTCTCGATCAAACGTCTTCTTCCTTACTAGGGCATACGCATTGGATTCGAACATTCACTCCATTTGTGTTAGTTGCGCTTTTAAATTATTTCTGCTAATACTTTTTCCTAGAGCCACTGTGAGGAAGAAGACACGATCGCTAGGACAGGAAATTTATTCACCTGACCCTTCGGATTCCTGCTCGTCAGAGACGAATTTTCCCAACGCCAGGGCCGGTTAGTCAGATGGTCGAGCGGTCATCACACCAACATACAACACCCGTGATGAGAATGCGTCAAGTAACGATGCAAAATTCGGCCACCAAGCAGTTTGTCACATCAAGTGCAACGATCCCTGATAAAGGGGGGAGTTGTGGATATTCATAGGTATGCGGTTGCATGGCGGCTGCAGCCTATAAATACTGCAGCCCCATATGCATGAATTACCCATATGTTTATATCTTTGATGACGGGTTCGAGCAGGATTTCGATACGTCCGGTGAATAAAGCTGTTGTACCGGCGATCGTGCCTCCTTCACGCCAGCTTTCTGGAATCGGCCCTTCGCTTCTATTGACAATTAATCACTACTTGCAGCATTTCACCAGAACAATGTTTCTTTATCTCGTTGTTCTTTCCTATATGCTCC